TTCCAAATACTGTGTAGATTTGACTGTGTTCGGGAAGGGAGGGGGGATTCGAAGAATTTGGGAAGCTTTGGGAATGGAGGGGGAGGGGTAAGATTGTATGTGTGTCTGAGTATGTGAGCGTGTGTGGTGTGTCTGTCTGTCTGTGCGTAAGGCTTTGATCTATAACATTTATTCAGTATAATTAATTTGAAGACATTATGTACTGTGTATTAAACTATATTATGTAGTTCTGAGGGATGTACAATTTTCTTTACATTTTGATATGTTAGGTAAATCAATGAAGAAGTATGATTGCTTTATTTTGTACTGAATGAATGCAATAAAGAATACTACCTAACGCAAAGAGACAGGTAGTAATGTCATAATTATAAAGAACATATATCATATATTATATAAAGAACAGTGCAGGCCGGTTGGATAGCAATTATGCACACTTTCATATGCATTTATATTAATGATATCAGTCAATAAGGGTAATTATCACGTTCATGCTTATGATAGTTGGCCTCTGCATTTATCTTGATTCCTTGACTGAGCTCCAAATTTCAAATTTTCAATTATATATACAGAGTAAGTCAGAAAAAATGTCCCACTTTTTAAATTGTTTGAAGTATGAATATTTAATCATGGAGTCTTGATAGAGTTATCCTCCCAGTACATTTAGGTACCATTTTCATGTGCATGACTGAATATCCATTCTTTACAAGACTGCCAGATCTCACTTGCGGGATGAAATAGTGTTTTGAACAAAGGCAGCCCGACAGACAATTACACACTTTTTTAAATATTTTTTTTAACAATTTTGTTTTATTTCTCCAGATGTGTAATACAAACCATGACATACAATTGAATAAAATAAACGTGTTCAATATTGATGCTTTGACATAAACATAATTAAACACAAACTTATTTGCAGTATAATATAACTTAGCAACAAAGTAAACGTATAAGTACCTAAACATAATATGTCAATTGTAAATGTTATTTACTTATATATTACAAAAAAAAAACTTAAACAAATCTGGAGGTAATTTTACTGAAACAATCCTGCCCCTTCCCTGCCCCCTCCATCACACAAACATACTCACCCTCTATCACACAAACATACTCACCCACCCACACACATACTCATCCACCCACCCACCCACCCCCACACACACACAGTACTCACTCAGTGGATGTCTGCCAACATTCTCAACTCAAGAAAAATATACTAAATAAGTTATCCAGGCCGCAAAATCGAGTTACGCTTTTAACAGGCTCACGGTGGAGAAGAAAGCAAATCTTAATTAATCTTAAGCTGCTCCAACTTTAAGAAATGTGATCCTAGCTTTCCCATTTTAATTGCTATTTTCTTTTCCTCATCCCTATACTTAAAAATGCTTTTTTTTCATCTTTTCTAAAGTTAGTACTCGCCCCCCCCCCCGATCTTGACATAAATGTAACATACTTCACCATGAAAATGATGGTATTACACATTTTTATTCTATATGAACTTCCTACCAACCCAACAAATATATCTCGCCATTCTAAATCTTTAATTTCATCTAACTCAAAAAGTTGTATTAAAGCCTGCCATATCCTTTGAACGCTCCCACAAGATAAAAATAAATGTTTGTATGTTTCTATTTCCTGCTTACAAAACGAACATAAATTATCACCAACAAAACCAAATCTATGAAGATGCTCATTAGTGTATATGGCTCCATGCAATAATTTAAATTGAAATTCACGTTGTTTTCTAATGAGTATAGTAATTCTTGGTCTAACAAATATTTCTTTTAATTCTTTATCTATAAAATCATAATCATTTTGCCCATCCCTTACCTGCAAATCATACGGTTGTTGCAGTGCTTTGATGAAATAATCATAGATTGTTCTTGAACCCACATCCACAAACTGTATCCACACACACACACACAACACACACGCTTACACGTACGCACAAACACACTGGTCAATCTTTTAACTCATGAATATATTCGCACTATTGAAATGAATTACCATTCATTATTTGTATAATAATGCACCCAGCCGTAACATGCAGCCAGTTCGATGGGTTCCTATATTGATAGATCATTTTGGTAATGCATTCAAATACAAGGGTACATACAATTTTGACAAGATATATTTGGATCAGCTTTTACAAACAGGTGAGCACTTTCTATTGTTCAGCACAATTTGGCATGCATAAGTTGTTGCTTTGTCATACAAAGCTCCTTCAATTACTCAAAGAGGGACACAGACGTTATTAAATAGAACTGCTCGTAGAAATCACCTGTTTGAGCCGGATGCGGGAATAACAAGATGGCTGATGTTTTGCACTGACGCTCTGCCTATACAATAGTCAGTAATACATGCAGAATCATAATCATTCTATGCAGGTCAATGCATACAAATATGTATGACACTGGCAGGTCACTAATTGAAGTAGGGTCCAGGGGGCTGTGTCCCATATAGCTCAGCGTTTAAGGCATTTAATCATGGTCAGGGCCCTTGGTGAGGTCCAGGGTGTGGAGCCCCCGGAAGCTCAGGGGTTTTAGGTATTTAATTACGGTCAGAAGCGCATATTTTGATACCTCATTTGTGACACTGGCAGGTCACTCATTCTTTCTTTCTCTCTTTCTTTCTTTTTCTCTTTAAAATACTTTTTTTCAAAAATGTGAGGAGGGCTCGAACCCTACCGTTCTGTAGGCCCTGACATGAAGGCTTCTAAATAAGCAATTTTTTTTTCCTAATTGAATTGAATTGAATTGAATTGAAATTCAATTTGGGAGACTTGTCATTTTCCAACAAAGGCATACAAAAGTGTAATTTACCTCCCATTTCAGCAACATGTTAAAAAAGACCATATGATTTATGGGGGGGGGGGAGGCAACTGCCAATGTCCAAATTTCCTGAAACATCCCAGATTACAGGAGAAGAACTTATCAATTGCACTCAGCACTCTAAATCCTTTGAACTTTCTGCACTACTTAATGTCTAATTACTTTTGTCCAGTTAATATACCGACATACTGGCAAAAATCAGAGGAATATCTACAACAAAGCACCTTTTTGGCTCAAATGGTGATTAGAGGTTTAAGTTCAAAGTTATCTTTAAAACTCGATGTAAACACACCAAACAGGTCTTTAATACACTTATGCACGTATATGCATACAGTTATTACACATGTGGGCAAAAATGTTGTCTTTGTAGAAATCAAATCAATAACTTTGGATTGCTATAACTTTTTATTGAAACGATATATAAACCTCTCCCTCGCACAGGATATTTTCGTCGTAAATAAGCAAATTCCTGGAAAGTTATGAAAAAATGCAATTGTCCGATTTTGATATATGGAAAATAATGTTTTTTGATAAAATTCAATTTGTCGAAAAAAATCACAAAAATCATGTTTTTTACTAAAATTTGCGATTTTAATAATTATTAATCCCAAATTTTTTGAAATCGGTATCAAAATGTAGATAATTTAACTCTCTTTCATATGACACCAAACCCATGGTGGTTCAAGGTTTCCTTAAAATATTATTTACATAATACTATTTTGTCGTCAAAAGGGACACTTTTTGGTGGGGGCGTCCCCCTGGTCACACCCACCACTAAGAACATGCCAGACGGTCAATTTGTTATGTGGAGCTATACGATCTTTACATCTGTGCACATGAAAATTGGTTTTCTTCCCAGATAGGTTGAGCCCCCCTGGCTCCCGGTCTAGGACCCCCCAGGAAATGAAGGAGGGGTCTGAAAATTTGGACCCCATCATTTTTGGCCAATTGGGACCCTTTTGAAGCCAAAACAGCAACAAAAAAAAATTAACTTTGGCACAAAAATCCTACGGGATTACATACCATATCGCACTATTAAATAATAACCGGGGCACGGGGTCGGCATGGTACGATTCGCCTCCGAAAGCGCTTAAGCCCCTTTCACGCCGGATCTGCGTAGAGTTGCGTAGCTTTGCGTACCGACTACGCCGAAGTTAGGCTGCGTACTCCTGAAAAATTGAAGCTTCGGCGTAGTCCCTGCGTAGGTTATGCGTAGGCTTGCGTACGATGGCGTATAGTTACGTACCCTATGCGTAGGTCTGGCGTAGGGTTGCTTACGGTTGCGTAGGGTTGCTTACTATGTAGTCAGGTCAATATACGGTAAAAAACACCCCAACCCCAAGAAAAGCTTCAGAAAGCTGTTATTTTCAAGATGGCGTCCAAGATGGCCGCCGATACCTAGTGAATAGCCATAAATCACTTATCCATCCTAGATACATAATTTTGGTGTCTATCCCATGGTTTCGGGGGTCAGAGAATCCATTGAGAGAAGTAAGAATGGTTTGTGATGGTCTAGGAAACCCCATAATCCAAGATGGCGTCCAAAATGGTCGCCATAACATAAACATGGCCATAAGTTACTTATTATCCATCCGAGAGACACGATTGGGGTGTCTAAGCTATGGTTTTCGGAGTCATAGAATCCATCGGAATAAGTTTGAACGTTAAGCAGTGGTTATAATTAATCAATAATCGTTGAATTATCTGACGAACTTCTCATGTGCCCAGATACTCCAGAGAGATGGAAACAAGTGGCTTCGACCACAACCCTTGCCCTTCTTTCCTGGAAATTTTGCAGTAATTAAAGCAGAAATAATTAAATCCTGCAGATATAGTTCAGCAGCAACAATATAGTCCAGCGGGACGAATAAAATTGTGTTTTTATATCAGAGCAAAATTGGTTATCTTGGTCAATTTTGCCAATTTTCTCGGAGAAAGAACGCATTGTAGTCCTCGAAATGAATTGGATATATGCAGTAGTGTTGTTAAATGCCACAAATGGCGCTATAACAATATTGAAGCCAACACGGACAGACAGTGATGGGTTCAAGCTTGGTGGTCTCCAATTCCCTACGGTCTCCAATTCCCTACACCTACCCTAGGTCTAGATACAAATGCCTATTACTTAAAATTCATACGGCTGCTTTTTTTTCGTGGATCATGTACAGATACAACTTCATCCAATATGGCGTCATCAGCTCCAGCATTGCTCGGGGGTTCGTTGAAGGGAAAAGTTGCCCTCATCACAGGTGATTCATAGCCCTACTATGTATAAATACTCAGTATTGTCATGATTGTTGAAATTTTTGTTGGTATTATGGTTATTGGTTCTATTGTTGAAATGTAAGGTGCTAACATTACAATAACGAATCATCTGCACATGATTTCTATGGGATATACAACAAGGTATCAAACTAGCCTTTGAGTTGATTGTTCCAAAGACTTTGCAATCAGATTAGTTTCCTGTAGCGTATGCTCGCAAGTCAGATGATGCATGTTACATAAAATGCCTTACAATTCAGAATGAAGCCTTATTGCCTTTTCTCGAACGTAATTAGGAGCCAGCTCAGGAATAGGAGCCGAGACTGCTCGTCATTTTGCTTCCCTTGGATGCCGATTGGCGTTGACAGGACGTAACATGGAAACGCTTGAGGAAGTAACCAATGAATGTATATAAAATCGAATTTCATACCTTTCCATTACCCAAATATTGTTTTTACTTCATTTATCAAACATGTGCCCGAAGTACATAATTGGGAACTTTCTTTCACTCGTCATTTTTTAGGAAAGTTTCATTAAATTTGAGAATTGTAATATTTAGCATAATCTAATATGTATTTTCCAAATAAACCAAATGCTGAGTGCAAGGAAATAATCAGTTTCCCATTTCTATCGGTGTCTTCATAATCTCATTACTATTTTCATTGATCATTACATTTTCTTCTAATTTTCCGTTTCTCTCTCTCATTGATTTTGCCTTTATTCAAATCGACTTAATGCAAGTGGGACCTATTTTGCATCACTGAACAGATTATAGTAAATTTTAAATATACAATCATGTTCATAACATTACACGAGTAATGTAGTAGAAAATGTATTAGGTCTTGGGCGCCATATAATTGGATAGGGCAGAACCAAATTTTCTCCAAAATAGGAAATTGGTGATTGTAATTTTTCTAATATTTTATCAAGCAATATGTGGTGGTGGTTGCCCCATTTGCCTGGCGATCACTACCAGATAGAAATGTTTTTTTGTTGAAAATAATAAATGAATTGTCAAATAATTATTAATTGATCGTGCACATATTAATAGAAAGTATTCTTATTTTTGCAAATTCGTTTAGGTATTAGGAGAGGGCTCGACAAAGACAAGGTAGGTTGGCTGTTGTAAATAAAGTCACTCAGAGTAGTGGATTTCCCTTCATAATTCTTTTTTAAATGCATTCTCAAATTACCATTACTACTCGTACTACTTCTTCTACTCGTTGTTTAGAACAATTATTTTGCGACCAGAATGTATTACTGATTGATCGAGTAAGAAATATTTGCCGTGCAGCCTCCTCTTTATATAAAATAGGAGAAATCAGACAGTTTTCAGATGAGAAGTTGACAGAAATAGACTATATTGTAGACTCGTAGTGCTTCAAATTAATAATTGTAATGCTCTTAATAGATACAAAGTTCTATAGGTCACACTCTTTTCAGGTTCCTCTCTCCTCCTCCTTCCCTCATACTACAACTTTACTGCTACAAGAGAACGTTTTATATTCATCACTGTTTGTGTTCTTTCCTTTGACATTTTAAAGCTTATCAATCTGGTATGCACCTGGTTTTCTGCTATTATTGTTATGTTTGTATTTATATTATTAGTATTAATAGTATTAGTAATAGAAGTATTAGTAGTATTTTTAATTATTACCTATTTAACTTTCGCCCAGATTTTAATGATCCAAGCAGACTTTGAGCTGGAAGCTGATGTGAAGAGAACTGCAGAAGAAACCATACAGAAATTCAACCAGATTGATGTGCTAGTAAGGATTAATCATGATAATAATGAGTAAAAGCTTCCTTCAAAAGCGCTAGCATAAATTATATAGGGCCTTCTGACAATGTTAAGAAAGTTCGCTAGACTGACATTATTGTTTTACAGTGAACTGTCGGTCTCGTGGGATATAGCCATTTTTTATGCTAATGTTGAAAGGAAATAACTTGCAATTTCACAGGAATAGATGTAGATATAGTTTTTAGACTTTGGATCAAGTTCTGATGCTGTATGATTCTTCGATGTATCCATATCTTTGCCCAGTGCTTCTCATTGTGATTGATTTCAGCAATATTTAGTCAATTGTTATTGAATTTCGATTAGGGTTCTCCTATTTGCTGCTCCTTATTTACTATGGCATGACCATGCATTACTCCAAATTATCTCAAGTTCTTATGTGATTATTTCTTCTCTTTCAACGTATTGTGCGATTACAGGTCAATAATGCAGGAATGTATGCAACAAACACAGTCGAGACCGTTACTTTAGAATGTTTTGATAAAATCTTTGCAGTGAATGTGAGAGCGCCCCTCCAGCTCACCCAGCTCCTAGCGCCACATCTGATCAAAACTAAAGGTAAGTGTACAGACACCACACAATTACATGCATTTTATCGAGAAAAAAGAAAAGGAAAATAAATTTAAATTTAATGAAACTTCCTTTAGAATCTTTCAAGCTAAAATATTTCAAAAGCATAAAAACTGGCATTGTCCACGTTGATAACTGGTACACAATAGTATTCGAATATCCAATAAATATAAAATATACAAGATACTTTATAGAATACTTAAACATTTACGAAATAGGGGAGTCAATTCGGGTTTATTATAATAAAGAGCTAAGGATTCATCTGAACCTACACCAAATCCAATGACCCCACGGGAAAACCATCTTTGAGTTTTCTGTTCCTAGGGTGAACATCGACTTGAAGAGCCCAGCGCACTTACCATGACGAGTACTGCTCCCTTCTCCGTCTCTTCCTACTCCTTATTCTTGTGCTTCGTCTTCTTCTTCTTCTTTTTTTTCTTTTTCCTTTTCTCCTGCTTCTTCTTTATCTTTTTCTTCTTCTTCTTCTCCATCTTCTTCTTTCTTTCCTTCTTCCTTTCCTTCTTCCTTTTTCAGTCTCCTTCTTCTTCTAGTAACTTCCAAATGACTTTGCAGCTAGCTGTCACCTAGATAAACTCTTGATCTGGCTTGCAATTGATGTATTAAAAAAGGGTTATATATGCACATTTAATGAGATTACAGCCTGAGATTTTCCAAAGAGTCAACTAGACAGCTCTTCCAAAAACATCTATGCTTCAATGTCCAGGTAATCTTTCGTCAATCTGCGGCACCTACTACTACTACTAAATGTTTTGATCTATATTGTTTTACTTGGTGGTGCTTAATGAAGTTGACTCCGCTCTGTATTGGATACACGTACAATAAGAGTGTAATACTGATTTTAATCTTGTGCACTCTCGGGTGCACATAATGAATTTAGGTTATCGACATTTAAATAGGTCAATACTCTATTTCCTTTATTGACAGGGACTGTGGTAAATGTATCAAGTGTGGTGGGCAAGGTATCGGTAAGTACATAAAACTAACTTCACGTCGTGAGAAAATCTAAAACAGGGTCACATGAACAAATTCACGCACTTCGATTGGCATGATGTCTTGCTCCCAAATATTGATACTGACATAAAATGCCGTCATGAAAGCAGTTTCCCCCAATTCCTATCTCTCATCCCCTCTTTGTGTGAAATTTATTCATGGTTGCAATGTTTTTCAAAATGAAATAATAATAATAATAATAATACTCAGTTCTTTTATAGCGCATAACACATTATATATATATATATATATATACCTCTTTCTACCACACACAAACACGCACACAGACGTATACCCTCACCCACCAAATTATGCACCCACACTCATGTCCTCCACATTATTTTTTGACTAGATGACTGACAACTTAGCCTATAGTATGTCTAAGACAGCGTTGGATCATATGACAAGGTCTATAGCTGAAGGTATGTCTGATTTTTGTTTTTCACTTTGTGCTATATGATTGTACTAGTGTTTTATATTCATATACACCCCAAGACCCTATCGCAATTTACCCAAACATATTTATATACATATATAGTATACATATATATTTTTTTGTATATACGTTTTCTATTACACTGTATTATTAATTTTCTATGTATTTCTATATTTGTATGTGTTTATGGTATTTCATATGTTTAAAAGTGTTTTTAATGGAATTATGAGATTAAGAAATAAATGGATATTAATCCAAAATGTTTGACAGTCAGTTGGCCTACATGGGTTTTCATTCTCTCCTATTTTGCCACATCTCGCTTAATCGCCATTTACAATACGCTTTTCATGCATTGCCGATAGTTTCTGAAAATCTTTGATTATCTGTTTCCGACGTATACAATTTTACCAAATATGGCTCTAAAAATATATAAAAAATCACCTGTGGTGCGACCAGTGAGAGGTTGCCCCCATTATCCAAATACAGCACTTCTCTCATGAACTGAATCGATTCCGGCAGGACATGACACGATGATTTCTGATATTTATTTTAAGACTTAATTCCTTGGTGCTCCGAAAGTCACTGGAATACCTCTTCCCATTTCATTAGTCGGGAATTAATATAGTCAAAATAACATGTAGCAACGATGTGAGAAAGTATTGGAAAGTTTCCAGCAAAAGAACAGAAACAAATTAAGTTATTAATTCTTGTTAAAGTGGTGATAATTGGTGAACACAAATGGGTTATAGTTTTCAAATAATGTTTCTCACCGACCGAGTTTCTATTTTGGCAGAGCCACGGCCATAATTGATTGATTGTATTAGAAACTCTGCCTTGTTGTTGTTGTTGTTGTTGTTGTTGTTGTTGTTGTGATAAATGGCGTTTCCATCGTCTTTGGATGATTTTCGCCAGGCAATGTGAGAGGGGCGTAGTTACTGGTCCTCTCTTAGTACTTCATTTTCAATATCTTGAGTATATTGGTGTCTAGGTCTTCAGACAATGTCAGTGTAATAATATCTTCACCCAGGCAAAAATATTAAAGTTTTAATTGAATTCCTATTATAAGTAATTATGGAACTTTATCATCAGTTAACATAACTTTTTGTCATTATTTTGGTTTAAATCATAGAACTAGCGCCCCATGGAGTTCGGGTTAACGCAGTGAAGTAAGTTGCAGATACATTTTTATTTACTAATGGGCACTGATAAGCTAATCTATTTTAAACACAGATAACATTGCCCATAAGGAACACGATCTTTAATACTCATTATATATGTTTGATAGCATCGTTAATGTGCGCTTAACGGATGACATCTTTTGTAGATTAATCTAAAGTGAGAATGTCTAAAGAAATGTGAAAAATTCCCAAGAAAAAAAATATCACGTTCTACACAAAAATGATTTGTAAATGGGGATGGGATGGAGGCATTCAATCTGATACGAAACCGTTTTCAGTGCACATAGTGACTAAAATGCCCGATGGCTAACTGACATTCCCGTGTGTCAAACCTTTTCGAGAAAAGGGCATGCTGAAGAGAACCTTAGCCCCTTCTTCGAAGTTCAGCGGGACCAGATTCTTTACTTATCTATAATATAAATAATCATCTCTGCTTCTCCGTATTTTATAACTTGCTCAGGCATGAGTCAGATCACTCAGATGATAATTTGAGAGGCTACAGACTATGAGAGAACACTGTGCTCTGGTCAAGTATCAATGTATAAATAGTTGAATATTATGTTTCTATCTAAAAATTCATTTCGATGAGAACTGGAACTATTTTGGAAAATATATTTTCATACGTTATTATTGAAAACAAATTTTTATTTTATGTTCATTGGTCAAAATTTGTTTCTTTGTCTTTGTAGCCCTGGTATTATTACGACTCCTCTCTTCAAGAGGTCATTCGGGGTGACTGATGAGGCAGTAGCTCAGGTAAATCGAGGTCTTTTATGTGATGTGCTCGGGGCGGTGTTGTGATGAGGGAAATTTTTGAATGTTAGATTTAGATCAAGCATTATCCCGTCCCGAGTTTATGATCGGAGTGTGACGAATATCCGGCAAAAATGTTTCGTTGACGGATTTGTTGACCATATCAAAACCGCTAAGGGAACCGTATTCGACGTGACACCAGATAATCAAAGAAATGTGATAATAATATAGGATTTCCCGGCGAAATTCACGAGTTTGTCATTCGAATTCATTTACTTTGCATTTAAGTTAGCGCAGATCGGCTTTGCCATGCCAATTATTACTCAATTTTCCCGTTTTGGTATTTAATTTAGGATTTTGGTCGAAGGGTTTCATAGATCTGTCATCTAAATTAGAAACTGCTCAACTAGCATTCAAATTAATCATCACTTGTCGAGGCGTCATTTTTATCATTCAAATTAACACCTGTCATTCGTATTCGAAATATGTTTATTCAAGTTAGGAATGTTTGGGGGAAGAAATGCAACACACGTTTACAGTTTTTAAAAAAATGCAATTAAATGCATGATTTGCCATTAGGGTCTTTTCTGTTATTCCATTTATTAATTTTGAGGACAATGCGTATGGGTGTAGTCAGACATTAGGTAAAGAAGGGGCCAAATCAAGAGATATGACATTTCTGCACGGCCATGTTAAAATTTTGGTCACATTGTAACTCAGTTTTGCAAATTTTATTTTCTATTTCATTAATTTGAATGAAACATACATAGATTCTAAAGACAACTTCATAGATTTGAAAACTAGAAAAAGGAATATAAACCCAAGATGTATCTTACATGTTAAAAACGTCGAATTTGAACGCAAGACAAATTAATTTAAATGACAAACTCTCGAATTTGGCCGGAAAATCCTATAATAGTCAAACATTTATATAGCGCTTAATACTACGTTTCTAAGCACTTTAAATCGCAATTATCATTACCCCACACACTGAATTCAAATGCTAATCCGCACGTGATAGCACACACGCTCAGCTCTCTGGGGAATATTCCAGCCAGGCGTCGTTTTACAAGCGAACAGATGCCAATCCAACGTTCGTTTGAACGTTCGCATTCTACCGGGTACCCTTTAACACCTGGGTGGAGAGCGGCAAATGTAGATTAATGTCTTACCGTATACGTAAGTGCCCCGGTGGGACTCGAATCGCGAACCATGTGATTTATAGTCCGTTGGAATATCCACTAGACTACGACACCCTACATTATCTGGCGGCAGGTCTAGGCGGATTTCGTACCGTAACATTGTAAGCACATCTTCAACGGCCATGAAGCATTGCCCCTGCAAATCAGATTTTGATTTGGTGATCACACGCTCTCATCAACTGAATCCAAACCCTACCTATCCATATACCTATTCTAATGTGTGCCTACTTTTGTCATTAAATGATTTGTTATCATTTTCCAAAAAATCTTTTAAAAACAAAGTCTTGTTTTTCTGAATCTTTACGGTTTTGTCGCTTTTTTGTTGTTTGTCTGTTTATAGCATGATTGTTTATTTCGCGTGTTAATCGAAAAACATAGATGTTTATATATACATGTATCATATATATATTTGTTTTTTTTACAGTTTTTAGAGGAAATGAAGAAGCATCATGCCATGCGAAGGACCGGTACCGTAGATGAAGTATCCCGGACGATAGCATTCCTCGCATCCAACGACTCGTCTTTCACCACGGGAGAAACCGTTGGGACTGAAGGAGGGTTGCATCTTTTGGTTACAAAAGTTCAGATTTAGACCTTTTTACAGATTTTAATTAGCCCGGTCTATCTCTCTATCATATCCTTTTGTTGTAGTGTATCTATAGGGTGCAAAAGAGGCAAGTCCCTTGGGCGGCACTTGACGTGGGCGGAAAAACGCAAATGAAGGAAAGAGAGAGACGGAAAATAATTCTTTAAAAAAAAATTCGCCCAACTAAAGCCAAAATGCATATTCAGGCTTTTGGGCCGGCCTTACTCGTTTGGGCTTAGAAAATTTAATTAAGGGAGCATATAATATCTCATTCCATTACTGGATATGTTGACGAACACCAACTTCTTGCCAACTGTCAATATGGATTTCGAAAACAATACTCAACCGAATCCCAGCTAGTCAACACCTTGGAAGAAGTCACAAGATCCTTAGACAAGAAGATTCAGACAGATGTCCTGATACTCGACTTTTCCAAGGCATTCGACACGGTAGCACATCAACGCTTACTGAAGAAGATTGCACACTATGGAATAAGAGATGAAACCAATGGATAGATCCAGACATAGCTTACTACACGAACACAGAGAGTAGTAATTGATGGGGAAGCATCGTCTACAGTTCACGTCGACTCGGGGGTACCCCAAGGTACAGTGTTAGAGCCGCTGATGTTCCTGCTGTACATCAACGACATCAGAGACAACATAAACTCTTCCATTAAAAGCAATTTGAAGGAAGGAAACCAAAAAGTCATTTGGCGGACGATATCTGAATTTCAAAGAGAAAATCACATTTCTAGAAAGTTGAGTTTCTGCCCTTTCATATGACACCTCAATCAGGAAAAATGAGCTAGGAATAACAAAGTTCTGTTTGTTTAAAGTAGCCCTTACATTTTCATAATTTTAACAAACGAATTCGTTTTCACTTGGTGCCTGCCGTAGCAAAAAGCAGATTTGACAAAAGACTTAACTCCGTTTCGTTGACAATCAGCCATGCATGAAGACTCTCGTCTACGGCTGATTGTCAACGAAACGGAGTTAAGTCTCTTGTTAATTTCGTTTATTGATACGGCGGGCAGCCAGTGAAAACGAATTCGTTGAATAAAATTATGGAAATGCAAGCACTACTTTAAACAACAGAACTTTGTCATTCCTCGCTCATTTTTCCTGATTGAGGTGTCATATGAAAGGGCAGAAACTCAACTTTCTAGAAATGTGAATTTTTCTTCGAAATTCAGATACCGCTCGCCAAATGTCTTTTTGGTTTACTTCCTTCAAATTGCTTTTAAATAAAATAATAATAATAAATAAATTGCTTTTAATCACTCATGCATGAAATATGCATCATCTGATTAGCATCACATGAAAGGAGACTCTAAGCTTTCCAAAATGTATCATTCATTAATTATAGTTGCGATTAAGTTATGATAGAACATCGATACTTCTCGGTTTCGTTTTTTCTGGGACGCACTGCATATAACTTGAAGGCAATTTTTTATGGAAAGAGGTTTCCAGTCTCAATTATCTAAATGGTTGTCATGTGTAGAGAATACATTAAATAATGCTGGGCTAGGAAATGTGTGGCAAATGCAAGGGGATGGATTCAGTAATACAGGGATTCTTCATGCTCTTAAGCTCAGGTTGACTGACATGTCAAAGCAAGAAATTATGTCAAATGTTTGGTCAAATCGCATTTGTGTTAACTACCGAATTATCAAGAACAAAATTTTATTTGAAAAGTATCTGGTAAAGTCGAAAAGAAGAGGTGCAATCACTTTGTGTCGATTCCGATGCAGGTCACACCGCTTACCAATTAATAATGGAAAGTTTGAAAATAATCCTGAAGAATGTAAAATTGAATGTCCTTGTTGTAATTTAAAGGTTTTTGGAGATGAATTTCACTATATTTTTGTCTGCCCTTTTTTCAAGAAAGAAAGGCAGTTATACTTAGACAGTTTGTTGTAAGTAACCCTAGCACATTTCACATGGACAAATTATTTAATAGATCTAGCGTTAAACAATTAAGAAAACTCGTAAAATTCAGTAATAATACCATTCTTTTCGTTGGTTCCTAAGGCTTAAAGCATGGTGCTATTTGTGTTAATAAAAGTGTAGTTACTCGTTGTGGTAGACAAACCAAACCACCTGATATTTTAGACTTATAACTTTAAACTGTATATGTCTAGGCTAGTGTATACTTAGTCTTTAGCTCATGTTTATTGTGTTTTAGAAATATAAAAATGTATGTATCATGTCTATGTATTTTATTATCATATTTTACTTTTTATTTATATATCTTTCTGTATTGTGTTGTAAATATGTTGTGCTCTCATACCCCTGAAGGGGGTCGATATAGTCAAATAAAATCTTATCTTATCTTACATATTTCAACATGACAATAAAAATAAACATAACTTGAAGGAAACTTTTATTTTGGAAATAACATGAATAAGGACCCATTATACAAACAAATACAATTATACGATCATCTGACTAGAACAAAAATAACTTTTTTTAAAATATAAATACTGAGATATCACAGAGTTAAAACATCATCCTAACGTTCGTGCACGTCGAAAACAATTCAGTGAAAGCATATACTAAGTAGGTCCATGGAAGTCGTTATTTTTTTACATGTTATTAGAATGATGAGAGTATGAAGAATCGTAATGGTAGCAACAAGAGACAGGTAATATATCAACATTATAAAGCACATAATCACGTATTATATAAAAGCAGTGCAAGCCGGTCGAATGGCAATCTGCAAATTTTCATATGCATATATATTAATGTAAATGATATCAGTCAATAATAATATAAGGGTATCTATTTATTACCTAAGTTCACAGTGATTACTATCGACTCAAGCATTCATGCTAATATGATAGTTTTCCTCTGCATTTATCTTGATTCATTGACTGAACTCCATACTTTCAAGTTTTCAATCATATATAATTATGCATTTTTGTTGGTGTATTTCAGTTGTCACTCTTTATGTAGATCAGTTAAATTATATACCAGTGTTGATATTTGAATGTTTTGTATTTGATTTTTCAATAATGCAGAAACATCTGCTAAAAAAAGTTGAGACGATGGGTTGTAATCGATCCGGGGGATAATCTCTAGTATGTATTATTGGTCCGAGTGTAATTTTCGGGATGATAGGTGCCCAAGGGCAATTGAGCAAGGTTCTACTTATTTTCAGGAGGTAATTGTCTTCGGGGCTCTTGTCTTAATGTGGAAGTTGTCTTAAAGAGAACTTTGAGTTCTGGAAGAGGTGAAAAAAAGTTTGTGAGCGTTATCATTTTTATTATGCAAGAAATAGTGTGGAAGAATATCAGATTAAAAATGTTCCCTGAAAAGCTTGGCTCTTCAAATGCCTTAATATTCTAAATATGGCATGTAGCGGGATAAAAATCGGGACGGATTTTTACGCCATAAGTATGTTCGTGTAGTCCCCTATACATATTCTTGTGTACAGTGCTTGTAACTAAGACTGGGCCAAATTTCCTGTCATTTTGATGATTCCAGAACCTTGCAGTACACACCAATACTTACATGCTAGGTGATCAACCTATTCTGATCCATTCCACACCGTTTTTTTCATAATGCAATCGCATGACCAGAACTCAACTTTATCTTCAACTTGGGGGAGGGTAATTGTCCTAGGGGTTCTTGGCCAGTCTCGTGCTCCTCTACTAATATGCCTTATTCCCTTTGATACTTCCTTTTCGCAACCCATGCCATGGAGTACTAAGTCATTGCTTTATATATTATGCCTATATAAGATGTGTATTGGGTCGCATGCCACTTGCTCGGGGAGGGGGTGACGCTTTTTGCCGAATATAAAATATTTTGTATTTAAATTCTCTGAGTTGAGTTCGGCCGGCCCGAATGCCCGAAAAAACTCTTAAGAATCAGAAATTATTATTTTCCGTCTTCTCTTTCCAGTCCCTCATTTGCGTTTGTTCCTCCCACCTCAAGTGCCGCCCAAGGGACTTGCCTCCTCTGCACCCATAGATACATAACTACAGATGGATATATATGATAGAGAGCTAGACCGAGCTAGTTAAAATCTGCAAAAAGTTCTTTAAATCTGAACTTTTGTAACTAAAAGATGGCACCCGCCTTCAGTCCCAACGGTTTCTCCTGTGGTGAAAGATGAGTCGTTGGATGCAAGGAATGCTATCGTCCGGGATACTTCATTTACGGTACCGGTCCTTCGCATGGCATGAATCCTCTTCATTTCCTCCAAAAACTGTAACAAAACAAATATATATATATATATATATATGTATATATACTTCTATGCAGGCTCGGATCCAGGATTTCTTAGGGGAGGGGGCCCAACTTTTTTTTTTGGCTCCCCCCTTGATCGCCAGGGGGGATTTTTTTTTCTCAAGGGGGGGGGGGGGGGGGGGGGGGGGGGCTTGGCCCCCCCGGCCCCTACCCCCCCCCCCCCTGGATCCGCTACTGCTTCTATGTGTATCGATTAACACCCGAAACAAACAATCATGCATGGGAAAATGATAACAAATCATATAATGAGAAAAGTAACCACACATTGGAATAATAATAATAATAATAATAATACATGAGATTTATATAGCGCCATTATCCATTTTAATTAAATGCTCAAGGCGCTTCAAAATATTAAGGAACACATTACATCATGACAAAAAATCGTGTACATTTACATAAGAAAGAAAATGCAAAATGAAAGAATGAATGTCTGTCTTCAAAACGCAAAATTAAACAAAATGGATTTAAGGTTGCTCTTAAAAGATGTTGAAGAGTCGGAGTTCTTCAGGAGTTCTTCACTTTCTGTGGAAGTGAATTCCATAGGGCTGGTCCGGCATGAGCAAAAGCTCGTCCCCCCCCCAAGATTTCTTTGAAAGCGGTATGTGTAGAAGACCAGAGTTGGAGGGTCGGAGGGTACGTGTGGGTTGGTAGAGGTGAACTAAAGACTGGTTGTATTCAGGAGCTGTTCTTTTCATGATTTAATAAACTAAAAGAAGGAATAGGTAAATGGATAGCTAGGGTTTGGATTCAGTTGATGAGAGCGTACGATCACCATATCAAGTGGATTACAGGGGCGATGCCTCATGGCAGTTCAATGTAACAGTACGAAATCCGCCTAGACCCGCCGCCAGATAATGTAGGGGTGTCGTAGTCTAGCGGATATTCCAACGGACTGTAAATCAGTGGCGGATCCAGGGAAAAAAGGGGGCAAAAAAGAGGGGAAAACGGGGAAAAAAAGAAGTGGAAAAAAGGGGAAAGATTTTTTTTGTTTAAAAAAAGTGTTCTCCCCCCCCCCCCCCCAAGCCACTGAACGAAATATCTGACGACATAATTTTTCCGTTTTCCGGGGCCAAACATAAAAATGTGCTCTTCATTTGCGGTTAATCCCGCCAACAATGTGTGGAGAAGGGGGAGCCGAAAGGACCTTGCCTCCCCCCCCCCCAGCAAACCTAAAAGAGAGAGAAGGTAAGGAAGGGAAAGGGAAAGAGGAGAGAAAGGGAAAGAAAAAAAGAGAAAGAAGAAAGGTAGGGGAGAGCAGTTGCGATTTTTCCGCCAAAAAAGTGTAGATCAGGGGGGGGGGGGCGGCCGGCGTACTGATCGGGGAGGGGGCTTGGGGGAAATACAATTCAAACGTGGTTTATTTCTAATTCCATAACGGGGGTTTACACATAATGCTGATATGACATAATTTTTCGAGATTTGTCCTCATTTTTTAGTAAATTATACTTTTGTATGCGTTTGTTGTAAAATGACAAATTCCTAAATTTACAGCCAGGCAAAAAATATGCTGAGATGCCTACATGTCAGGGCCCGCAAAACGGCGGGGATCGGGAGCCTCCACCTCCCCCCTCACTTTTTGTGAAAAAGTATATTAAAGAGAAATAGAAAGAGAGAGAGCAAGAAAGAAGAATATTTAACTGCCAGTATCATAACAAAATAAGGTATCAAAAAATGCTCATCTAACTGTAATTAAACGCCTAAAACCCCTGAGCTTCCGGGGGCTCTGCCCCCTAGACCCAACTAATTGCCCTAAGGCGGGCCCCTTGATACTCATCTGACCGTAATTAAGTGCCTAAAACCCTTGAGCTTCGGGGGGCTCCGCCCGCGGGTGTCCTGCCGGTGTCACAAATAAGGTATAAAAATAAAAATAATAACCCCCCCCAAAAAAAAAAAAAAAAAAAAACGCCGTTCAAAAAAAAAGAAAGGAGAGAAGAGGAAAAGGACGAAGGAATAAAAAGGAGCAGACAAAACATATTTTGAAATTCAGACAAGGATTAAGAGTCAAGAACGGTACAACGAATCGTCTTCTTTCTCTAATGATTTAATGAAATGTCAAAGCATCCGTGCTTCGCGCAGGAGGTGGGGGAACTGAATTTAGACAAGGATTAAGAGTCGAGAACGGTACGGTGAATCGTCTTCTTTCTTTAATAATTGTAATGAAAAGTCAAAGCTTTCAAGCTTCGTACGGGATGGGGGGGGGGGAGAGGGGGGGGGGACTGAATTTAGACAAGGATTGAGCGTCGAGAACGGTACAACGAATCGTCTTCTTTCTCTTTTAATTTCATCAAACGTAAGAGCTTGCGCGGAAGGGGGAAACTGAATTCAAACGAGGATTAAGAGTCGAGAACGGTACAACGAATCGTCTTCTTTTTCTAATAATTTAATGAAACGTCAAAGCATCCGCGCTTCGCACAGAAGGGGGATGAGAGGGGGAAGGGACTGAATTCAAACGAGGATTAAGAGTCGAAAATCGTAATACGAATCGTCTTCTTTCTCTAATGATTTAATGAAATGTCAAAGCTTCCGCGCTTCGCAAGAGGTGGGGGAACTGAATTTAGACAAGGATTAAGAGTCGAGAACGGTACGGCGAATCGTCTTCTTTCTTTAATAATTTTAATGAAAAGTCAAAGCTTTCAAGCTTTGCGCGGGAGGGGGGGGGGAACTGAATTCAGATAAGGATTAAGAGTCGAGAATGGTACAACGAATCGTCTTCTTTCTCTAATAATTTAATCGAACGTAAAAGCTTCCGGGCTGGGGGGGGGGGGGAGAACTGAATTCAGACGAGGATTAAGCGTCGAGAACGGTACAACGAATCGTCTTCTTTCTCTAATGATTTAATGAAACTTAAAAGCTTCTGCTCTTCGCGCGGGAGGGAGGGATACTGTATTCAGACGAGGATTATTTTCGAGAACGGTACAACGAATCGTCTTCTTTCTCTAATGATTTAATGAAACGTAAAAACTTCCGGCTGGGGGGGGGGGAGAACTGAATTCAGACGAGGATTAAGCGTCGAGAACGGTACAACGAATCGTCTTCTTTCTCTAATGATTTAATGAAACGTAAAAGCTTCTGCTCTTCGCGCGGGAGGGAGGGATACTGTATTCAGACGAGGATTATTTTCGAGAACGGTACAACGAATCGTCTTCTTCTCTAATAATGTAATGAGCGTCAAAGCTTCGGCGCTTTGCGGAGGATGGAGGGGGAAATCGCCCCTCCCTGCACACCCCCATTTAATACGTCAATGCTGGTCACCATTACGTACCAATATTTGGCTCGCATAATTTTCAATCTGGCCCCCCCCCCTAAGAAATCCTGGATCCGCGCCTGCTGTTAATAGCATGGTTCGCGATTCGAGTCCCACCGGGGTACTTACGTACTTTGGTAAGACATTAATCTACATTTGCCACTCTCCACCCAGGTGTTAAAGGGTACGCAATAGGATGCGAACGTTCAATGACTGCATGGGGTAATAATAATTACGATTGCTTAGAAACGTAGTATTAAGCGCTATATAAATGTTGGACTATTATTGTCATATTTCTTTGATTAACTGGTGTCACGTCGGATACGGTTCCTTTAGCGGTTTTGATTTGGTCAACACTCCGTCAACGAAACATTTTTGCCGGATATTGGTACACTCCGATCATAAACCCAGGACGGGATATGCTTCATGTAATTCTAACATTCCAAAATCTCTCTCATCACAACGCCACCCCGAGTACATCACATAAAAAGACCTCGCTTTACCTGAGCTGTTGCCTCATCAGTCATCCCGAATGATCTCTTGAAGAGAGGAGTCGCAATAACACCAGGGCTACAAAGACAAAGAAATCAATTTTGACCAATGAACATAAAATAATAACTTATGTTCAATTATAATATTATCATTTTTTTGTGCAAATATATTTTCCAAAATAGTTCCAGTTATCATCGAAATGAAGTTTTAAATAGAAGGAAAAAAAAAAACTATTTCTACATTGATAATTGACCAGAGCGCAGGGTTCTCTCGTAGTTTGTAACCTCTCAATTATTATCATCTGACTCATGCCTGATAAAGTAATAAAATACGGAGAAGCAGAGATGAGATGACTGTTTATCTTATAGATAATCATACGAATCAGGACCCGCTAAACTTCGAAGAAGGTGCTAAGGTAATCTACAGCATCCCCCTTTCTTAAAAAGGTTTGACACACAAGAATGTCAGTTAATAGCCATCGGGCATTTTGGTCACTATGTGCACCCAAATCATAACGATTTCACATCAGATTGAATGCCCCCCCCCCCCATCCCCATTTAAAAATCATTTTTGTGTAGAACGTGAGATTTTTTTCTCGGGAATGTTTCACATTTCTTTAGACATTCTCACTTTAGATTAATCTACAAAAGATGTCATCCGTTAAAGCGCACATTAAAAACAAGAGAGAAACATAGTATGATAAAATGATTAGAAGGTGATGTACGATGGTATCAAACATATATAATGAGCATTAAAGATCGTGTTCCTTTAGGCATTAGCTTATCAGTGCCCATTAGAAAATCAAAACGTATCTGCAACTCACTTCACTGCGTTGACCCGAACTCCATGGGGCGCTAGTTCTATGAATTAAACCAAAATAATGACAAAAAGGTTATGTTAACTGACGATAAAGTTCAATATAAATGGAATTCAATTAAAACGTTTATATTTTTGCCGGGGTGAGGAGATTATTACACGACATTGTTTGAAGACCGAGACACCAATATACTCAAGATATTGAAAACGAAGGCAGCGTTTCTAATACAATCAATTAATTATGGCCGTGACTCTGCCAAAATAGAAACTCGGTCGGTGAGAAAACATTATTTGAAATCTATAATCAATTTTTGTTCACCAATTATCACCACTTTAATTTTTTTTTTTTTTTGATGGAAACTTTCCAACACTTTCTCAATCATTGCTCCCTGTTATTTGTCTATATTAATTTTTATTCCCAATGAATGAAATGGGAAAAGGTATTCCACTGACTTCGGAGCACCAAGAAATTAAGTTTTAAAATAAATATCAGGAATCATCGTGTCATGTCCTGCCGGAATCCATTCAGTTCATGAGAGAAGTGCAGTATTTGGATAATGGGGGCAACCTTTCACTGGTCGCACCACAGTGGGAGTGGAGTGGTCGAGTGGTTTAAGGCGCTTGACTGGAGATGCGAAGGTCGAGGGTTCGAATCTCGACACGGCACTAATATCCTTTGGCAAGATATTTACCTGCAATTGCTACTCTCCACCCAGGTGTAAATTGGGTACCCGGTAGGATGCGACCGTCATTGTTGAACAAACAGTTTTTGAGCGTCAAGTAACGCCTGGCTGGAATGCTCCCCAGGGAGTGGAGTTGTGCACAAAGTATGTGCGGGCAAGCACTGAATCCAATGACCGGGGTAATGATATATTGTGTAAAGCGCTTAGAGACATTTGTATTAAGCGCTATATAAAAGCTAAATATTATCATTATTGATTTTTTTTTTAAAGCCATATTTTGTAAAATTGTATACGTCGGAAACAGATAATGAAAGATTTTCAGAAACAATCAATGCATTAAAAGCGTAGTGTAAATGACGATTAAACGAGATGTGACAAATTCTTCTTGGATATTTAGGAGATGAAAACCCATGTAGGCCAACTGACTGTCAAACATTTTGGATTAATATATATTTATTTCTTAATTTCATAATTCCATTAAAATACATTTAAAAAAAAAGAAATACCATAAACATATGAAATATAGAAAACATAGAAAATATATAATACAGTGTATTATGAACAAATAATAGAAAACGTATATACAAAAAATGTATATACATATAAATGTGTTTGGGTAAATGGCAATAGGGTCTTGGGGTGTATATGAATATAAAACACATGTACAATCATAAAACGCAAAGTGAAAAACAAAAATCAGACATACCTTCAGCTATAGACCGTGTCATATGATCCAACACTGTCTTAGACATACTATAGATTACGAAGCCAGGCATCTAGTAATGAACAAACAAACATTAGGAAGGCATGGGTGTGGGTGCATGATTTTGTGTGATAGAAAGAGGTTCAGGCGCGTACACAGGGGGGGGGGTTGGGGGGTTACCCCCCTTTGGTATTTTTGTGTGTGTTAACCCCCCCCCCCATAACCCCCTAAACCCCCCCTACCTAAAAAAGCTGACCCCCCCCCCCAACGGAGCAAAATGTCAAATGTTCAAATTTCGAGACCAATAAAAAAAAAAGTGTCCTCTTACCCCCCCCCCCCCCCCCCCCCCCCCCCCCCCCCCCCCCCCCCCCCCGCTTATATAGCGGTCGGCTGAGTCGTTGCGATTTTGGGGGATTAAAAAAAAAAAAAAGTGTCCTCTTACCTCTTACCCCCCCCCCCCCCGCTAATTCAGCGGCTGGCTGAGTCGTTGCGAAATTTTCGGCCCGATTTATAAATGTTAACCCCCCCCCCCTTGAAAAATCCTGCGTACGCGCCTGAAGAGGTTTATAATATATAAATCTCATTTTGAAGGACATTGCAACATGAATAACTTTCACACAAAGAGGAGATGAGAAATAGGAATTGGTGGAAACTGTTTTCATGAAGGATTTTATGTCAGTATCGTTTTGAGAGCAAGACATCATGCCAATCGAAGCGGGTGAACAAATTTTTTTATGAGATCCTGTTTTAAATTTTAAATTTTGATTTTAATTTCAATTTATTCATGTTTCCAACAAAACATTACACATCAATTATAAGCATTTAAAACAATTGTAAGAAATACATGTTGGAAACATAGGGGTCCACTAAAAAGCAATGCTAGTACAAGTGTGAACACCTCATATGATACTTGGGAATAATGAGTAATTAAATTAACTAATCCGTAACTACAAAAGGAACTACAAAGTAGGGGAAAGAGAAAAGGGGGGTGCCAACAGAGACGATAAAGGTGACGTGAAGGTACGTATATGAACTCACCGATATCTTGCCCAACATACTTGATACATTCACCACAGTCCCTGTCAATAAAGGAAATAGAGTATTGACCTATTTAAATGTCGATAACATGAATTGGTTGTGTGCACCTGAGAGTGCATGCACAAGATTAAAATCAGTATTACACTCGTATTGTACGTGTATCCAATACAGAGCAGAGTCAACTTAATTTAATCAGGTAAAATAATATATATCAAAACATTATGTAGTAGTAGGTGCCGCAGATTGACGAAAGATTTCCTGGACAATGAAGCATAGATGTTTTGAAAGAGCTCTCTAGTTGACTCTTTGGAAAATCTCAGGCTGTTATCACATTAAATTTGCATAGATGTCAACCGGTGTGTTGGCTCAGTCAGAAGAGCGTCCGTCTCACAACCGGGAAGTCGTGGGTCATAACAAAAGACGTTAAAAGACGGTAGTTGCTGCTACCTTGTTTGGCGTTCAACAATAAGGGATAGAGCAACGTCGATCTGGCGCTGCTCAGTGGCTGCCGGGCTCACGATCAATTGGGCAAAAAGAATTTCCATTTTCGGTTTAACTTAATACAATTTGGAGTGGACTTTAAAAGATTATTATTTTTATTATTATCATTATGTAATCCTTCTTACGCCATTTGTAAGCCAGATCAAGAGTTTATCTTAGTGACAGCTAGCTGCAAAGTCCTTTGGAAGTTACAGGAAGAAGAAGGAGACTGAGAAAGGAAGAAGGAAAGGAAGAAGGGAAGAAAGAAGAAGATGAAGAAGAAGGAGGAGAAAAATAAAGAGGAAAAGAAGAAGAAGAAGAAGAAGAAGAAGCATAAGAAGAAGGGGTAGGGAGTAGGAAGAGACGGAGAAGGGAACAGTACTCGTCATGGTAAGTGCGCTGGGCTCTTCGAGTCGATATTCACCCTAGGAACAGACACCTCAAAGATGGTTTCCCCGTGGGGTCATTGCATTTGGTGTAGGTTCAGATGATACCTTAGTTCTTTAATATAATAAACCCGATTTGACTCCCCGTTTTCGTAAATTTCTAAGTATTTTAAGTATCTTGTATATTTTATATTTATTGGATATTCGAATACTATTGTGTACTGTTATCAACGTAGGCACTGCCAGTTTTGATACTTTTAAAATATCTTAGCCTGGAAGATTCTAAAGGAAGTTTCTTTAAATTTCAATTTGTTTTCCATTCATATTTTCAAGGTAAATCTACACACAAAAATGCATGTAAATGTGTGGTGTTTGTACAATAGACCTTTTGTAGTTAGCACATGGGTCAAATGACCCCAAATATCCACAGATCTTTTACTCATGGAGAAGTCCCAATTTGTGTATTTTAGAATAATCAATGCCAAAGTCATGTATGTGCTTTATGACAAGCTTTTGTTTGCCCTCTTGTTTCATAGAATGTACTGAAGGTGCACACATTAATAATGATAACATATTACATATTACATGAGCGCATATTCATCTCGGCAGGTTTTACAATTTTATCACAAATGACCTTTATCTGACAATGGGCAGATAGTATTTACGAAATGGCTTATTACCATTAACTTTGATCAGATGTGGCGCTAGGAGCTGGGTGAGCTGGAGGGGCGCTCTCACATTCACTGCAAAGATTTTATCAAAACATTCTAAAGTAACGGTCTCGACTGTGTGTGATGCAAACACTCCTGCATTATTGACCTGTAATCGCACAATACGTTGAAAGAGAAGAAATAATCACATAAGAACTTGAGATAATTATAAGTAATGCATGGACATGCCAATTTCGGTGTGAAAGAAGTTACAATATGTTAATCTCTATAGTAAATATGGAGCAAATAGGAGAAACCGTGTATTACGAAATTTGATCCTCATTGGAATTCTGTAAGAAATGACTAAATATTGCTGAAATAAATCAAAATGAGAAGCACTGGACAAAGATGTGGGTACATACACAGTCGCTAATAAAGGTGGAACATTTTTTGTTATCCCAATTTATGGAATTAATTTAAAAAATAATTTAAAAATAATAGATCTAGGTAATAGTATACATTCTCACATTTTATTTAACAATAATTTGCCAATAAGTGTTTGCGTGACTGCTAAAGCATGTGTATGCTACTATGCTTATCAACTAGGGAATCTATGCCCTTAAGTCATAAATGACAGTAATGAGGATTAATGCCCCACAAAAGGCACTAATATAGCACATCGACACGGTTTTGATCCTGGGGCCTCACAATGTGTGCCCATGCCTTAAGCCATAATGCATGGCCGTCCAGAGGATTTTTGTACGTTGGGGACCGGGGTAAAATGCAATAAATTATTGAAAATTTATTGCATTTCTTTCTTTTTTTTAATTTATGGAAACTGCCCCCTACCCTAGCCACCGCTGCGTACAATCATGGTTCAGTGACAAAATAATGGCCTCGTAACTGTGAGGCCCCAGGATCAAAAGCGTTTCGATGTGCTATATTAGTGCCCTTTTGTGGGGCATTAATCTCATGTCATTAATGTCATTTATGACTTGAGGGCGTAGGTCCTCTAGTTAATAAGCATAGTAGCATACACATGCTTTAGCAGTCCCGCCAAACACAAATTGGCAAATTATTATTCAATAAAATCTGAGAATGTATATTATTATCTAGATCTATTATTTTTAAATAAATTGGGGCAAAACAAAAATATTCTACCTTTATGAGCGACAGTGTAGAAGAATACAACCATGCAACACCAGAAGTTCTCAAAACTATTTCTACATCTATTTCAAATAAGAGCACCTCCATATCAAAGATATATTTCAAAGTTTCCCGTGAAATTGCAAGTTATTTCCTTTCAACATTAGCATGAAAATGGCTACAGCCCACGACCGACAGTCCACTGTATATATAATCGGTCTAGCGAATCTTCTTACAAATGTCAGAAGGCCCTATATAATTTATGCTAGCGCTTTTGAAGGAAGCTTTTACTCATTATTATCATGATTAATCCTTACCAGCACATCAATCTGGTTGAATTTCTGTATGGTTTCTTCTGCAGTTCTCTTCACATCAGCTTCCAGCTCAAAGTCAGCTTGGATCATTAAAATCTGGGCAAAAGTTGAATAATAATTATTTAAAAAATACTACTAATACTACTAGAGTAAGTAATAATAATATTAATACAAAAATAACAATAATGATTGAAAGACAGGTGTATACTAGATAAGCTTGACAATGTCAAGGAAAAGAACACATCATCATCATTAGTATTATTATCGGTAGTAGCAATAATAGTAGTAAGAGGTAGAGGCCGATCCAGGAGGGCCCCCCGGCCCCCATCCCTGGGGGAAAAAAACTTGTAAAAACACGTTAATTTTACTTTTTTTTGGAGATGGGCCCCTTCCCCTGGCGCACAAGGGGGGGGGGGGGGGGGGGGAGAGATTTTTCAAATTTTCGTCGGCCCCCCAAAAGAAATTAGTGCTCACTACCCCCCCCCCCCCCTCCCCCTCCCAATGAGCGAATTATCGGCCGGCTGTTTCGCCTCTAAATATTATCTCACGAATTGTGTCCCCTCCCCTGCCGCCGGCTGGATCTGCCCCTGGTAAGAGGGGGAGGAGGAGGAGAGAAGAACCTGAAAACAGTGTGACCGATAGAACTCTGAATCTATTAAGAGCATTATAATTATGAATTTAAAGGATTACGAGTCTATGAACTAGTCTCTTTCCGTTCAACCCTCATCTGAATAACGTCTGATTTCTCCTATTTTATATAAAGAGGAGGTTGCACGGCAAATCTTTCTTACTCGATCAATCAGTAATACATTCTGGTCGCAAAATAAATGGTCTAAACAACTAGTAGAAGAAGTAGTAAGAATAGTAGTTGAAGTAGTATTATATGAAACGTATTTTTTATATTATATATTTGTTTGTTTGAGAATGCATTAAAAAAAGAACTATGAAGGGAAATACACTACTCCGAGTAAGTTCATATGAAAACAGGCAACCTACCTTGTCTTTTTCCAGCCCTCTCCTGATACCTAAACGTATTTGCAAAAGTAAGAATA